GAAGATGAGGAGCAGTGATGTTGCCCTAAATTTTAGCTACCTACTAAATTCAGTTTTCCTTGTAGCAATTGGAGCTAAAGATTTTCCTGATCAAACAGTAGCTTAAAGGCAGAACATCTCGGAAAATTGTGGGTGCCCCTGAAGTCTTTCAGACAAGGGAGTCATAGGTGGCATCAATTTTTGCACTAACCGGTCATTCTTTCTAAGATGGCCCTGTAACCTTTTTCAGTTTCCTGTAGAAATTGCTCCTTACAGGTTTAGTCGCTTTATAGCAAATGGCCTTGCCTTATACAGAGAAAACAGCCCACTCACTCTATACATTTACTTTATTTTGTTTAATTTACACTTAAGTAAGTGATGATTACTGTGCACCAAATATTAATTCAATTCTTTTTTTTTTTTTTTTTTTTGAGACAGAGTCTCACTTTTTTTCATCTGGAAAATGGGACTGTGGTTACCCAGACTAGAGTACAGTGGTGTCATCATAGCTCACTGTAACCTCAAACTCCTGGGCTCAAGCAATCCTCCTGCCTCAGCCTCCCGAGTAGCTGGGACTACAGGCATGTGCCACCATGCCCGGCTAATTTTTTTTATATATATATCAGTTGGCCAATTAATTTCTTTCTATTTATAGTAGAGACGGGGTCTCGCTCTTGCTCAGGCTGGTTTTGAACTCCTGACCTTGAGCAATCCGCCCGCCTCGGCCTCCCAAGAGCTAGGATTACAGGCGTGAGCCACAGCGCCCGGCCTAATTCAATTCTTATAACAATTTTTTGAGATAGGCACTATTATTTTTCCCATTTTATAGATGGAAAAAGCAAGGGACAGAGAGGTCAAATAATTTACCTACAGGCATACAGCCAGTAAACTAAGATTCAAAACCATACTGCAAGCCTGGCGCGGTGGCTCACGCCTGTAATCCTAGCACTCTGGGAGGCTGAGGCCGGCAGATTGCTCGAGGTCAGGAGTTCGAAACCAGCCTGAGCAAGAGAAAGATCCCGTCTCTACTATAAATAGAAAGAAATTAATTGCCCAACTAATATATATAGAAAATTAGCCAGGCATGGTGGCGCATGCCTGTAGTCCCAGCTACTCGGGAGGCTGAGGCAGAAGGATTGCTTGAGCCCAGGAGTTTGAGGTTGCTGTGAGCTAGGCTGATGCCACGGCACTCACTCTAGCCTGGTCAACAAGCGAGACTCTGTCTCAAAACAAACAAACAAACAAACAAAAAACAAAACAAAAAAACAAACAAACGAAAAAAACCATACTTCGGCTCCAGAGTCTCTGATCTGAACCACTGTGCCACAGACTGCCTGTCTTGTCTTCTTCATCTCAGAGAACTTGCCATCTTGCCTTCTCTCCAAGGCCAGGGCTGCTACATATTGTACAGGTTGTTCCCTTGCTAAGGAGGCCCAGTCAGGGGGGATGGGGACTGAAGTCTAGACTGTCCTCTGTTCACTGTGCTCTGTGTTCTGCTGTGCCACTGCTACCCAGAGGCAGAGGAGTCTTTATCCTTTTTGGACACAGGTGCTGTCTGGGATAGCTTTCTTGCTCCGAGGCTCACTCTCTGTCTCTTCCAGTACCTTGTGGCTTCATTGATTTCCTGGGTACAGTCAAGAATTTGACATGAACAACACAAAATTATACCTCTGGGTATCTGTTTGTTATCTGCATTAAAGCCTTTAGCATATTGGAAGCAGCTTTAGCTTCTCTTGCCTATACCACACATCTAATATTTAAACCCATTCAGTATCTTCATAGCCCTTTTCTGGGAATCTTTTGAAGTGTGGTAGGTCCCTTTTAATTATAAAACTACTCACGAATGAAAAACAAAGTCACTATGAAAGTTAAACCGAAGTACTCATGAAACCATGGAACCTAACTGCCTTTTACACCATTGTTTTTATGGGAAAGTGTGCTCTGAGTTTCACTGTAGAGCGCCTGGAAAGCTTCTCCCTCTAACCTAAGGGGCTGATCACATCAGTAGGAGCTGGGAAAGGGCTGTGGTGCTGACAGTGAGGTGGTGGCTGTCGGTGTGACTTGGCCACCTGCAGCCAGATGTTTATGGGCTGGAACACCTTTTCTGACTGGCTCCCAAATCTGCTCCTGCCAACCTTCAGCTCATTCCTGACATAGGCAGCCAGACTGATCTTTATAAAATGCAAATGTGATTGACACTCCTTTTCTTAAAATCACTGAATAGCTTCTAATTGCTATTGGGATAAGATCCTTACCATGGTCTATGAAATGACCTGGCCCCATCCAATATTCTTCTTGCATCTTGATCTGTTCTCCTACCTCTCTTGTGCTTCAGCCACTCTGGTCTCCTTTTAATTAGTTCTAACATTCTAGAGTCTCTCCCATTATAGTTTCTTCTTATGTGCTTTTTCATTTACCTGAAATGTTTTATTCCCTTCTCTTCATCTGGCTAATTGTCACCTATCCTTCAATTGTCAACTGAGATGTGACTCTTTCAGGAAAACATATTTTTGTACTGAAGGTGCCATGTAACTTTCCTTGATAGCACTGACTACAGGTTAAAATTAAATGTATCTAATGTCTCTCTTCCTGGGTAGATTGTAGCCTGTATTATTAGGTAGGGGTCATATTTGCTTTATTTTTTTCTTCTGGCACACACGTATTGAATAAGTGTTGAATGAATCAATGAATGAATGAACCAATAAATGAAATAAGCAGATTTAACTTCCACATGTGACTGTTTTCCTTCCCCACCTAGATTTTACATTTCTTGAAGGCAGGGGCCATGTCTTTACTCATTTTCCTAGGCCTTAGACTGTCTAGCCCAGGGCTTTGCAAAATGGTGAGCTTCAATAAAGATTTGCTGGTTACTTGATTAATCTGCCGAACTCAGATGAATTAGTTAAGGTATGGCAAAATAAGGAAAATGTCAGGATGGAATATATTGGATTCTTCTGATGAAAGAGTGCAGTCTGGTGTTTCAAAGTACAGTGAATACTGGTTTATTTTTATGTCTAATGATCAATAAATTAGCAGATTGTGCTATATGTTGAACCCTTTATTTTCAGCCTGATTGCTTGTTCAACTGATGACTTTTGTCTCTACTAAAAGTGTTTGGTTAGCATAGGTAGAGGTCTTTGAGCTGGGTTAGTAATAGCAGCTAATTGTATTTATTCTTTTGTTTTTGAGAGTAATCTTGGTATTATTTTCATCAACTTATCGATACATCAAGTTCCACCTATAAATAGGTAGCTGATTAAACAGATTGTGATGATGAAAACAAGACATCTCATATTTTATATTTAATTTATTGATTGTGGATAGGGACTCATTTTCATGGTTATGGACCATACTTGTTATCTCCATTGTTATTCATGTTAAATTCTTCCTATTGGAAGAGGTCAAGGCAGACTCATGAGCCTCTGGTGCCTATTGATTTTGACTTAAGGCATTCTCTTATGCCTATTGATTCTGACTTAAATTTGTGAAGTCCTCTTCTCTGTCTTCCTTTTCTTCCTTGTACATTAACTGCCCCACTCACCCCATGCTGGGGAGAAAGGCAGGAAAGCAGAAAAATAATGGCAATAGATTTGGCATTTTCTCTTGCTCTGTCTGAATTATCTCATCCTCATCCTCATTTTCATTGCCATCCTGGATTTCCTTCCATGGTGCATCACATTGCACTTTCAAAGCCCTTTCACACAAGTTTATCTTATATACTTCCCCAGCCCCCATTGTTGCTCAATTTATAGCTCAGGAATCTTGGGCTCACAGAAATCAAATGATTTAGCTAAGCTCATATGGATAATGAGTAAAACTGAGTATATTTGCCAGGATTCTTTCTGAATTTAAGGAACAAAAGCCCAATTTAAACTAGCTACTAGCTTAAGAGAAAAATAAAACATATTACAAAGAGTTTAGAATTATTTATAGAATGGAAGAAATTGATGTACAAGCCAGGTCAGCTTTGGAGACTTTGGGAACTGGAACCAAAAACCTGAAACCTGCAGGAATTTCTCAGGTTTTCTCATATGCTTCTTTGGGAGTGTTGGGATCATAGGGTCAAACTTCTCCAGGTAGTAGGGGACCTGGTTATCAGTGGGGCTGCCACGTACAGTGTGCAGTGTGCAACTGTGCTTCATCTAATGGTCACAAATCTTACCACAGGCAGCAAAGACTTGGATGTTTATTATGGCAAATTTCCAGCAGATGGCACTCAAGTGATTTTGCCTTTTCTAACAAGAATCAGTAAATTGATTTGAGGAAGAGGCACATTTTTCTATTTTGCACAAGTGCTCCTTTGGGGGTACTGGAGACACTGCCTTTCAGGAGCTTTGAGGTTACATTTTTTTTTATCATAACCAAAGAACAAAGAGAAACCTTCACCACAAGCTCTAGCAGAAAGAACCTAGACGATAGCTTTGATGGACCTGGCTTGGGTCCCATCATCGACCATTTCTATGACTAGCGTGAAATTCCATGATTGATTCTCCCAGACATCACAATCCACACACACTCGTCTCTCCATATAAAATTCCAACTGCTGCTACAAAAGCAGTAAATCCATGTGTAGTCACAAATATACTCAACTTCCTTCAAGAGAAGTGTTCTAAACTATCACCCAGTTATTGCATTCATTGCCAAGTGCAGGGTCTTGGGTAACATGCTTATTATGGTTTGAATGTGTTCTTCTCCAAAATCCAGGTATTGCCAATGTGATACATACATAATGAGTGAGATGTGCACCATCTGGGGGATGGTCATGCTGGAAACTCAGACTTGTTGGGGGAGAGGGGGAAAAGGCATTTATTGAAACCTTAAAATTTGTACCCCCATAATATGCTGAAATAAAAAAAAATAATAAAAAAAAGAGTTGGAGCCTTTACGAGGTGATTAGGTCGTGAGAGCTTCTTCCCTAATAAGTGAGATTAATCCCTTATAAAAGAGGCTTCACATAGTATTCTGGTAAGCTTGCCTCTTTGCCTTCTGCCATGTGAGGACACAGCATTCCTTCCCTTCAGCGGATGCAGCAAGAAAGAGCCATCTTGGAAGCAGAGACCAGACCCTCATCAGACAGCAAACCTGCTGTCACCTTGATCTTGGACTTCCCAGCCTCCAGAACTGTGAGAAATCAATTTCTGTTACTTATAAATTTCTGTTACTTATAAATCAATTTCTGTTACTTATTTCCCAATCTGTGGTGTTTCATTATAGCAGCACAAATAAACTAAGACAATACTTACCTGTCAGGCAGGTAGGCTATGGCAGCTTGAGATTCTGAAACCTGTGGGCACTGGGACTAATTAGACTATTTCAAGAAACAGCAGCAAAGGAAAAGAAGAATAGCCACAATAAAAATTCCTGTTTAGAAAAGTAGAAAAAATATAAGCAACATATAGAGGGACAATTCCAGAGAATATGCCATACTCCACGCAGCAGGACTAGTAAGGCATATCCATTTTGACTCTCTGTCATGACTACGGTTAGGTCTTTTGCATTCTTTTCCTGAATCGTTTCCCTCCATGGCCACAAAAAATAGAAGGATGGTCCATGGAAAGCTATATTCTTAGAGTAGCCCCCTTGTTATGGTGGTCATAGGGACCCAGGGAATACTTTAGAGATTAAGCCATTATAGGATTCTAGTTTAGGGATTTCTCCAGCAAAACACCTCTTTTAAAGAGCTAGTTGAATGTCACTGTTGAGTTCATTTTGATGGGTTCTGTTGACTTATAACCAACCAGAAATATTATTGAGTTGTAATATTTGACTCTGGACCATGTGCCTTTAAAGTTTCTGCTTTCAAGAAACAAACTATAGGATTTTGCCCATCCTTCCATGGCTTCTTTAATAACTTCTCCTTTGGCCCCTACCCTAGGCAACTGAAACAATGGGCTGAGTTGGTAAAACAGAGCTCAGCTGATCTCTGGCCCCTGGTATATCCCAATTATTTGCACTGTCTGATGGGCCAAATGGCTACCCTTTCTCTGGGAGAAGTTCACAGCAGGAGTTGTTTGGGAGGAGCCTGGGTGATCAGGCTTTCTCTACTTCTGGGTTACTCCTGGGTATCCCCTCTTCTTAAGTCAGTGAAATGACTTTACTGTGGGGGCAGAGGGTTCATCTTTGATGGTTTTGCAGGCAGCATGGTTGTCTGACCTTCAGCCCCTTTAGACCATACCTCAGACAGAATGGGCCTCTGTTTCAACAATACCTGGTGTCTGACTTATTTTTTCCTATCCACTTCAAGAAATGCCAGTTTAGATTGAGGCTTAGTTTCTTCCTGAAAGACCTTACTGAGGGCCTTAAGAAGTATCCAGCATGCTCTCATCTTTAATATTTTTATACCAAACCACTAAAATGGCATTATGATCTGTCTGCCAAGATATAATAGGTAATAATTAACATCTGCCTTGTTTTCATATAAGGAGGATTTCTGACTTCCCAGCTAGGAATGGAGTGATCTTCATTGCCTCTACCTTATATCAACTAAGCCCATTCTATTTTTAAGGGTCAGTCATTGCACTGCCCCACTTCTGGATACTAATTTCTGTGTCAGTCATCTTTGTATTGCTAGCAACAGTGATTCAACTGTAATAACTTGCTTGAGAAAAAACAGGGTGGGGAAAGAATTACTGGAAGGACCCTGGGTAGCTTATGTAAGAGCTACTGAGACAGGAAGCTATGGAAACTTTTATGACTTGAACTGGGTAATTGACTCTCTCCCTGTATCTGTCTCTTATTCCAGATTCTCTCTGGATGCTGGCTTTGTTGGCTCAGACTCTTCCACGTGGCTGCAGGGAGCCCTGGGTTACATCCTTATATTTCATGATGAGAGCAGAAAGAGGCATTCTTCCCTTCCTGCTGCAGAAGGAAAAAACTGGAAAAGGGCTCTGATAAACCTAGTTGGACCAGTCACTGGGGCTGAGGGGTGAGGTTCTGTAACTGGTTCAGCCTGGGCTGCATGGCTTCTCTCGAGGCCCCTGGGTGGGCAGAGTTGGGGGGCAGGCCACCCCAACTGGAGAGAAAGCCACCACACCAGCTCACTGGGTTCTCAGCACAGGGCTTTGCCACCTCACCTTGCTGCCTTTGACATCACACAGCTAACTCACTGGCCTATTTCCCAGGTACTGGGGACTCTGGTATCCTCTGTGTACTGCAGTGACAGTTGCTTAATTCCTGGTTAGCATCATGTTTGTTTTCATGGGTGGTCAAAAATAAATACCCTCGTACTTTTGAAACCACACCTGAGGAGCTGCTGATTTCCTTTTAATAGTAAAAGTGCAAACCATTATCCATTATCGTCCGAAATAACCAACTTTCCTTTAAAGATACTGTCCATTTTTCTCGCTGATGCTATCCCTTCGGCTTTGGAAAAACAGTCATGTTCCTCCCAAATTATGCTTCTGATGAATGTGGTCCCTGGATATTCAGCTGGGATGGTGATCCACGCAGACAGCAATTGAAATGGCCAATCACAGGAGCTACTAAATCACGCCTGAGTGCAGGTGTGTGATTAACAGCAGGTGCTGGAGATGTCAGAGCTGGCAGATTGGAGTCTTCCTTTCTCCTCACCTTAGCGATGCTTTCGATTTCCTTGGAACTGAAATTTCTGCAGGAAGATAAACTTTGTCACAAACAGCTGCTCGCTGGGTACTTAGGATATGCTGCTTTGCAGTGGGAGCTGCTTGTTAAAGGAATAGCTCCTGTCTTTCTAGCTGGTCTGTGAACCCCCTGGGATTAGGGACTGGAGTGTATATTTCTCTATACGCCCACTCTTCCTAGAGCATTTTATGTACACAGAGGATGTTTAGCCAGGGTTAGAGGGCTATTGTAAAGGCAGGTAAAGAGGTGAGATGTTGGCACCACTGGTTTAAAAAAGAATGTAGAGAGGCTCCCCAGTCTCAGGTGAATAGAGAATAATGGCTGTGGAATAACCATTGATCTAGGAGCCAGTCGGTATCTGGGTTCTGGTTCTATTTCTGATTCTGACTAACTTTTTGAGCAAGAATACTTATAACATCAAAAAAAAATTTTTGTTTTTTGCTTGAGACAGTCTCACTCTGGTTACCCAGACTAGAGTACAGTGGTGTCATCATAGCTCACTGTAACCTCAAACTCCTGGGCTCAAGCAATCCTCCTGCCTCAGCCCCCTGAGTAGCTGGGACTACAGGCATGCGCCACCATGCTCAGATAATTTTTCTATTTTTTGTAAAGATGGGGTCTCACTCAGGCTAGTCTTGGACTCCTGACCTTAATTGATCCTCCTGCCTAGGCCTCCCAAAGTGCTAGGATTACAGACGTGAGCCATCATACCAGCAATCAACAAACATTTGATTGAGTGACTATTATGTGCTAGGACCTGGAAGTAACAGTGAACCTGATAAACAAAATCCATTTCCTCGTGGAACTTTTATTTTGGTGGGAGAGCACAGAATATAAATGATAATAAATTAAATTAATATAATAATATATAATATATATTAATATAATAAGCAATATAATTAAACAAGATCAGAAGTCCCTTGAAGGGGAAGAAGGAGGAATATAATAGAGAATAACTGAGGAAACTTTTAGGATAGTGAAGAAAGGGGTAAAATTGCATGAGACTTAGCAGTGCAGGCTTGAGGATAAGACAGATCTATGTTTGAACCTCAGCCTCTTGCACTTAGCATCTGTGTGTCTTAAGCAGAATTATGTGACCTCTCTGAGTCTCACTTTTTTTCATCTGGAAAATGGGACTGTGCATCTACTTATGAGGTTGATGTAAACCTTAAATTAAAAATACATATGAAATGCATAATAATTACTTACTATGATATATTCTGGCCATTGTCCTCAGGGTTGTGACAAAATGATTTTGAATGCCTTTTTTGGTTCTAAATTTCTGATTTGTGTGGTTGGTCCAATGTTCTTTTTCTTTAAGAAGAAATGAGAAAAGAAAAATAAGAAGAAATCCTTCTGATTACTTTCCAGGTTCCAAAGGCTTTCAGTAAAATAGAAGATGGGTAATTGTCATTTCTACTTAGCTTTGCAATCTTCTGAGCCGAGTGTCTTTAAACAGGAGGAAGCAGCCGTAAATCTTGCAAAGTTCAAAATCCATTACCTAGGGATATGGTTAATGTCTCCCATCTCAAAGCGTAATTATCTTTTTAAGAACAGAGCTGGCTAAAGGAAACGTTGGTTGATTTAAAAAAAATTCTGAATCAACCATTAAATCAACAGTTGTTCTTAATTTAATTCATTGCATATGGTCCCAGGTGTGGGCGTGACAAACCAAAGGATTTGTGGGATGAACAGTGAGATTTTTCATTTCTCTATATTTCCATGTGAGCAGATTAGAATGAATGGCTTCTCATATCAGATGATTCAGGAGCCCTGAAGCACACACCACCCCCACCAGTGGCAGGGCTAAAATGCCTAGTCCCAGTGCCCTGCAAGGCAGAAGCACATCGTAGAGCTTTAGGACCCAGAGGCAGACACCGAGAGTCCTACTCTTGACCCTGCCACTTCCTTGTTATGTGAAACTGTACATCCTTTATCCCTACTCCCTTGCAAATGTTTTAGGCATTCTCTATCTTTAGATGCTATCTATGAAATCAATTCCACAGAAGCTGAAATCTCCTCCTTATAAAGCCTCTTATTTGGTTTCAACACATTATCCCCAGAAGAGCTTGGCTTAAATGTTTAGGGAGGGAAGCACTTGTAAAAGAACTAATCTCACTTATCGATATACTTCAGTTGGAAACTAAGGGTACAAATTGCTCACCTTTGCTACTACTGTATTTGAGTTGTTGCCAATTAAGAACAGACAATCTGGGCCATATGGGCTTGAAATGCAGCTTTATTATTTGTCCAATAACTGCTCCTCTCGCATATGGTCATAATGTAGCTGGCCTAACTCTCTTGAAGTACATAACTCAGACCCAAAGCCCAATGGGGCTTCCTCCTACCCTTGCCAAATCCAGGGAAGCTGGACACAGATTAGGGCTAGTGTGATTTACCAACTTATTTTGTCAGTGGTGTGGAAGCTGTGGAATGGCAGATCTCACTGGCAAGGCCAACTGCATAGTGACAAAAAGGAAAGGAAAAAAGGAAAGGAGAGGGAAGTGCAGATGAGAGAGAGAGAGAGAGGGAGAGAGCTCGCGAGCGAGCTGTCTTTCCTGCTTCTGAGCCATCCACTAGATCAGGGAGTTTCTGATGGAAGAAAGGTCACTTGTCTACACCTATGGGAAGAGCTAGCTCTTGACAAACTGTCCATTTCTTTTCCCCCATTCAGTTTAGGTTTTTTTTTTTTTTTTTTTTGAGACAGAGTCTCGCTTTGTTGCCCAGGCTAGAGTGAGTGCCGTGGCATCAGCCTAGCTCACAGCAACCTCAAACTCCTGGGTTGGAGAGATCCTTCTGCCTCAGCCTCCTGAGTAGCTGGGACTACAGGCATGCGCCACCATGCTCGGCTAATTTTTTTATATACATATCAGTTGGCCAATTAATTTCTTTCTATTTATAGTAGAGATGGGGTCTCGCTCTTCTTGCTCAGGCTGGTTTTGAACTCCTGACCTTGAGCAATCCTCCCGCCTCGGCCTCCCAGAGAGCTAGGATTACAGGCATGAGCCACCGCGCCCGGCCAATCAGTTTAGTTTTCTTTCTAGGTGTTTATACCTTCATGTAGTCAAGTGGCCCACACTGTGGCATCCTTCCTGGGTTGGCCCTTTTCAGTCGTCTCATTCTCCAGGTACTTTCTGACCTTCCCACTCTCCTATACTGCACCTGCCCGGTGATCTACTTCCTCAGCCTTCTATTTAATCTCAATAACTGGTTTCTTCTCTGACGTTCCTGTTTGATCGTGGCATAACATTTGCCTTTTCGTAGTAATCTTTGATGCCTTAACACAGAATTGTGGTTCATATGAGAATTTCGGGTTTCAATGTAGGCAAGTGGGGAAAGAAAATCTCTCTGCCCCTTAAATCATGTAGAACAGACAACAGCCCGTTCTGCATATACACAAGATTGGCCTGGTCACGCTCATCTCCCATGGATAGATTTTATCCTCACCTGGACCTCTGATAAACTGAATCTAATTGATTTCAAAGTCCTTCAAGGAACAACACAAAGGCTTCTTTTCTCAATATGACAGTGCCTAATTTAGTGTGAGAAGGATTGAGGGATAGTTAGTGTAAAGAAGAGAAACTATCTGGAGGGCATGATATCCATTTCTCATATTTGAAAAGCTGTTATTTGGAGAGAGTTTATTCTTTCATATCCAAAAGGTAGAAGTTAAAGAGAGGTGGATTTGGGAGCTTTCCAAAGACTGATTTGCAGACGTGGAAAGCTCTTCATCCAGGGAATAGGCTGTCTTCGCTTCCTGACTTTGAAGATGGTGAAGTAGAAGCTAAGTGCCTACCTGCCACATGCTGCAGGCTGCCTCCCGTGTGTGGAATATGGTGACTAATGACTTGTAGGGGTCCCTTCCCATGCTGAGATTTAATAGCCCTTCCCTGCCCTCTCTCCTATACTAGCCGTCTCTACTGCTCAAGGTCTGGAGGGACATTTGAAGAAAATGACTAAAGCTTCAGACTTCCGCAGTTGCCAGATTTTTTAGCTTTGTCAAAGGCAAAAACAACTCCAGGAGGCCTTAGCTCTGAGATGCTTGAAAAAGCTTCTAAAGAAACTGGTGAACCAAGGGGTATTGTCCTAATTTTTGAATGATGCCTTAAGTTTGTAAGACTTGCAGAAAATTTGTCAGCCTGCATTATAGTCTGACTGGTTTTGATGACTACAGTGCTCTACTTTGTAGTACTTGTGGTTAAATTTTTTAGTAAACTTTTAATAATTAAAGTATATATACACTTTAAAGTATATACGCACAAGGGTTAAGCATGCAGTTTGATGACGTCCCACAAAGTGAACATAGTTGTATAATTGCTGTGAAGATCAAAAATATGATACTACCCCAGGAATGGAACTGTACCCAATAATCCCCTCTTCCCACCTGGGTTCTTTCCCAGTCTTTATCTTACCATACCCTGATTTCTAACATGATGGGTAAGTTTTGCCTGTTTTTGAGCTTATATATTCACACCGGCAGTATGAGTATCTCAGGTGCTCCAAATTCTTTATAGCACTTTGTATTACTAGGTCTTTTTATTTCAGTCATTTTAATGGGTGTTTAGTGATCACATTGGTTTTTAAATTTGCTTTTCCATGATGACTAATAACGTTGAACACCTTTACCAATGCTGTTGGAAATTCAGATATCCTCATTCAAAAAGTACCTGCTCATGTATTTTTCTCAGTTTTCTGGATTGTCTCCTATGTAGACATTCTTTGTGTATGTTGAATATGAGTTCTTTATTGGTTATATATATTGTAAATATTTTTCTACGATGTGTTTTATATTTCACTCTTTTGATGGTATATTTTAATAAAAAGAAATTCTTTTTTTCTATTTCAGTTAATTTTTCTTAATTTTAATATAGTCTAATTATGAATTGTTTTCTTTAAATGCTTTTTGTATACTGTTTCAGAAATCTATCTCTACCCAAAGGTTATAAAGTTATTATCCTATGTTATCATCTAGAATCTGTTGTTTTAACTTTTATATTTGGATCTAAAATTCACCTGGGATTAATTTGTATCTATGGTATGAGGCAGGCGTTGGGTTCTCCCTCCTCATAAGAATATTCAATTTACTCAGCATGATTACCAGAAATAAATGCCACCCCACTGCTGTGGAGTGCCACCATTGGCATGAATCCATTCTTCATAAAACTGTGGGACTGTTTCTGGGCTTTCTCTTCTGCTCCAGTAGTCTACTTGTATATTTTGTCTTAATTCCTAAAGATTTATAAATCTTGATATCTGGTAGTATAAATCCTCTAATTTTGATCTTCCTTTTTATATTTGTCTTGGCTATCCTTGGCCTCTTGCATTTGCACACAAAGTTTTGAGTTGATTGTCAATTTCTATAATTAAAAAAATCCTGCTGAGATTTGGAAACAACTGACATTTCACACCGTTAACTCTTCTATATTTTATAGGTTTCTATGTAGAGGTCTTGTACATCTATTATTAGATTTATTCCTAGGTGTTTGAGTTTTTGAAAGGCAAATGTAATGGTATTATTTAAAATATTATTTCTTATTTACTTGCTGGTACATAGGATTATTGCAGTTTTTATTTTGGCCTTTTATCTAGAAAACTTGCCAAATTCAATTATTAATTTCAATAAATTATCTGTAGATGCTTTTGGATTTTCTACTTATACATTATAACTTCTCCAAAGAGTGACAGCAGTTCAATTTCTTTATTTCTTGTTTTTAATTCTCCTGCCATTTTTCTTTTTTTTGCTTTATTGCATTGGTTAGAATCCCTAGTACAGTGTTAAATATGGTATTAAATGCAAATAGTGATAGATGCCTTTCTTTTCTTAATCCCAATCTTAGAGGGAAAGCTGTCAACATTTCACCATGAAGTGTTAATATTTGCAATAGGTTTTGAGGTCTTTTTGGGTAGATATCCTGTTTCAGATTAAAGAAGTTTTATATCTAATTTGTTGGAGTGTTTTTTCTTTTTGCCATTATGGTCATTGAATTTTATAAAATATTTTCTGCAATTTTATTGAGAAGATAATCGATATTTCTACTTTATTCTATTAATATGATGAGTTACATTGCATTTCTGGAATAAATCCAACTTGGTTATAATGTATTCTTTTTATATGTCATTAGATTTGATTTGGATATATCAATGACCTACACTAAGAAATTAATAATAATTTTTTTTTTTTTTTTTTTTTGAGACAGAGTCTCGCTTTGTTGTCCAGGCTAGAGTGAGTGCCGTGGCGTCAGCCTAGCTCACAGCAACCTCAAACTCCTGGGCTCGAGCGATCCTTCTGCCTCAGCTTCCCGAGTAGCTGGGACTACAGGCATGCGCCACCATGCCCAGCTAATTTTTTATATATATATCAGTTGGCCAATTAATTTCTTTCAATTTATAGTAGAGACGGGGTCTCGCTCTTGCTCAGGCTGGTTTTGAACTCCTGACCTTGAGCAATCCGCCCGCCTCGGCCTCCCAGAGAGCTAGGATTACAGGCGTGAGCCACCACCGCCCGGCCAATAATAATTTTTGTAAAAATTTTTGTATTCTACATGAGCTTTTGAGTGAGCTTAAAGACCATTTTTTTCTCTTAGATGAATTTAATATTTTCTCTGCAGTCATATTTGCACTGACAACTTGATCAGACATCATTCTGTTTGAATATAAGTAATATATTCTCTCGTGGATGAAGATCTCAATATATTTGAAATTCATCTCCTCTGGAAGAATTTTATTTCCTACTACAGCCAGAAAGTAGGAATTGTGTACCTTTGTACCTAGCTAGAAATTATAGAGACAGTACTTTATACTTTATCAATGCAGAAGTTGTTCAATCACTTATGTTCTATTTTTTTATGTTCCCTAATTAATATAAATTAATCATTTAAAAAGTTTAACAGTTTTTGGTGTGCTTTTTTTACATCCATTATGTAATTTGATCCTCAGAATTATATAAAATATGTTTTAATTGCTTATAAGAAGCTTAATAAGGAGGCTTTATGGATATGACTTTGAAGAAAGCAACAAAACCAAAAATAGACAAATGAGACTGCATCAGACTAAAAACCTTTCACACAGCAAACAATTAACAAAGTGAAGAGACAACCCACAGAGTAAGAGAAAATATTTTCAAACTATACATCTGACAAGGGGTTAATATCCAAAATATATAAGGAACTCAACTCAATAACAAAAAAACAAATAACCCAATTAAAAAATGGGCAAAGGACCGGAACAGACATTTTTCAAATGAAGACATACAAATGGCCAACAAATGTATGAAAAAATGCTCAGCATCACTCATTGTTAGGAAAATGTAAAGTAAAACTACAAGGAGATGTCACCACACACCTGTTAGAATGGCTTCTATCAAAAAGATGAAAGGTAAGTGTTAGCAAGGATGCAGAGAATGTGCATCTTGTTGATGGACATGTAAATTAGTATAGCCATATGGAAACAGTATGTAGCTTCCTCAAAAAACTAACAATAGAACTACTATATGATGCAGTTATCCCACTTCTGGATATATATCCAAAGGAGTTGAAATCAATATGTCAAAAGGATATCTGAACTCCCATGTTTATTACAGCATTATTCACAATAGTCAAGATAGGAAATCAACTTGAGTGTCCATCAATAGATGAATGGACAAAGAAAATGTGGTACATATACATGATGGAATACTATTTAGCCTTAAAAAAGAAGGAACTTCTAACATTTGCAACAACATGGATGAACCTGAAGGACATTAAGCTGAGTGAAATAAGCCAGGCACAGAAAGACAAATACTGCATGATCTCATTTATATATGGAATCTAACTAATACAAATAAAGAGTAGAACGATGGTTACCAGGGGCTGGTGTGGGGAGTCATTGGTTAAATGATACAAAATTTCAGAAAGACTGAAAGAATAAGTTTTGAGATCTGTTGCGCAGCAGGATGACTATAGCCAATAATTATTATATATTTCAAAACAACTGAGTAAATTTCAAATGTCTCACCACAAAAAATAAGTGAGGTAAATGGATATGTTAATTACTTAATAATTCCACATTGTTTACATATAACAAAACGTCACATTGTACTCCATAAATGCACACAATTATTTGTCAGCTAAAATAATATTAATAAAAAAATAACATCCAAAAAAAGGAGGTTTTATATTCAAATGGGAGGGCAGACAGTTTTAAAATTGTTTCTCTCTCCCTTTTTTTTTTTTTTAGCCAAAGATCAACATGAATGTCAGCCTTGGTAGTCTTTGACTGAGGCCCTTTACTGAAGTGCTTTAGAGTATCTTCTACATTTTGCATTTTTGTGGCCCTTTTGAGAGGGACCCAGTATTCTCAGGTCCACAATTTAGAATGCCTGATGGTAGACTCTGAGAGAAGATACAAGAATTTAAAATATTTGAGGCCATGGAACACAGGGACACAGGGAATGGTTAGATACTGTTTTAGTCAGGGTTCTCCAGAGAGTGAGAACCGATAGGGTATATACAGAGAGATACATGAGAAGCGATTTATTAGAGGAATTGGATCACTTGATTATGTAGGCTGAAGTCCCACAATGGACCATCTGCAAGCTGGCGCATCAGGGAAGCTGGTTCAATTCAAGCCTAAAGGCCTCAGAACCAGGGAAACCAATGGTGTAACTGTTGGTCTGAAGCCAAAGGCCCTCCCCAGAATGGGAGGGAAGGGGTTGCTGGTTCTAGTCCCGGAGTCCAAAACCAGAGAACTTGGAGTTCTGACACCCAGGGGTAGGAGAAAAAAGGGTGTCCAGGCTCTGGAAGACAGAGAAAGAGAGCAAGAATTCACCTTTCCTCTATCTTTTTGTTTTATCCAGGGCTCCAGCTGATTGGATGTTGCCCACCCACATTGAGGGTGGATCTTCCCCACTCAGTCCACTGACTCACATGCCAGCTTCCTTGGGAAACACCGTCACAGCACAACTGGGGCAACTCAATCATTCTAACCTAATACCAAACCACCTGTTTCCCTTTCAGCAGAAAAGGAATGGGCTCATGTTCTCCTGATTATTAAGAATAATTATTCCAATGATTGAGAATAAATGATACTTTACCGGTTACCTGGGTAGCCCTTAATTCAGTCAAGTTGACACCCCAAATCAATCATCACAGACACAATGACCTGTTTTTTGGGACTATGGAGTGTTGAAGAGATGAGGCCTTAGAAAGCTAAACATCCTCTGCCCTTGTGTTCTCTTCACTGGGAAATGTGGGATGGTTAGGATTATAGGAAAGGGATATTAGGATGAAGACTTGAGAAGGTACTAGAAAATTGGGACATATGAAATATTTGCGATAATTTTCATTTCTGTGTCATTCCTGGAACAGAATTTAGCACACTTTCATGACATCTAGCCAAACATCTTGATTTTTTGTGAACAAGAACAATCTCAGCCTTCTCTGGGTCATGCAGGCTATTGCAGGGGCATGCACGCTGTTAAGAGAGAGGACTCTAGTAACATTAACAATTGTCTTTAATTTTCACATCAGGAAACCTAAAGACAGACTTGATGGTTTGAACAATTAAGAGCTGGGATTGGCAGACTAGAACCGAGGTCTTCTGACTCCAGTCTGTAAAATCTTCGATTGGGATTTTGACTTTTATATAATTTTCATTTGTCTAGTATAAACACCATTTGGGATTTGACAAGCTTCAGTATTTGCAGGTTTTTTGGTAGCTAGATGAGGGAACATCAATATTTGCATCTCTAGGTGTTACCTGCCATCGTGGGAGGAAGTTCAGCCTGCCTGATTTTGTTAAATCTCTCTTCCTC